CAAACAGCGATATCGTAAGTTTCACTCTTTCATTTGATACACGTTCCTTTTTCTCCTATAATCTCCTTTCGTTACTTTCATAAGATGCCATCCTAACCGCTTCAGCCATTATGTTTCGAAAGTGATTAGCTTCCATTGTCGATAACCTACAGCCAGCAGCCATTCAAAGCGCATTTCGCAACTGATCCTCACCAGAATCACTGAAATTTGTTTGAATGATATCGGCGGAGTTACGATAAATGAAATTATCGCTTAAAACATGAAAGCATCAAGCAACCTTATCACTTGAACTCAGTTCACTTGTAAGACTGTAACCATTCAGCAAAAAAAAAGAATTGTGAGCGATATGTATCAGTAGTGAATGTTGGTTGAACAATAGTGAATGTTGACTGAACGAAGTAATAAATCTAACTATATATAAGAAGTTCCGAAAGTCTGAAGGCATTGGTGAAATATACTCCTTGAGGAATGAAATTTCACCAGTATCCCAATCAACTAAAAATATTAATAGAGTACATCTTGATAGAAATTATTACCAAGATATCATCAGATAATATTTCATTTTGATGAAATGTTGAAACATCGTTTCATCTTGCTTGGGCATTATTCGATCAGTTTCCATTATTCGATCAGTCATGCTCACCCTCATATAAACTACTCTATTTTATAATGAATATTATGCGTTAAACTACTTCCCCTGATATTAGACTTTGCCAGCCACAATTGCAGATGACTAAATTCGGATCAATTTAGTTCGGAAATGTTTTCTTCAGTATGACACCTGTCAACAACCGGGCAACGATATGCCCTCACACTATCGTTCTGTGTTCCTGAACGACACCGAACCTGCAGAGTCTGACATCTATCATAGTGGAATTTTGCTNGGATGTACGTATGGTATTGGAGCGCTTTATGTGTGGGCAGTTGGCATTCTCGCAGCTGGTCAAAGTTCTACAATGACCGGTACATATGCAGGTCAATTCGTCATGGAGGTGAGTGATTCAGTTTCGATTTTTTTGTTGTTTCGATTAAAATTTGCTCTTCAAATTTCATTCCATACGTCAAGGTTTGAGATATGGAATGAAACTTGAACAGTGCATATGTTGAGCAGCAGTTGGTTTTCCGTTGGACGGTACATACTTATCCCCGTTAGATGATTGTTTTAACATCAAAATCAACGAGGTAAAACGACTTCAAAGATGTGAATTCACGCATCTATGAATTTTCAGGGATTCATTCAGATTCGTATGATCAGATGGAAGCGAATTCTCCTTACAAGGTTAATGTCTGAGTGACATTTCGTTTAAAAATGCCTCCTTTTTCGAGCATCTCTTTGATTATCAATGAAGATTCATGGTTATTCTGATCAATACGCCATTACGATGCGATTTTACATCAATAAACTTTCAGATCAATAGCAATTTTACCGACATTAATTGTGACGATATTCAGTCGAGGTGTTGGATATATAACATCCATGAACGACATTCTCAATTGTGTTCAAATGATCCAGCTTCCGTTCGCTCTTTTACCGGTGCTCACGTTTACCTCGAACAAACAAATAATGGGTGAATTTGCCTGCAGCAGGTACGTTCTCTAATTCCATCGCATCCCTGTTCCCATCATTCGATCAGTCATGCTCATCCTGATATAAACTACTCTATTTTATAATGAATATTATGCCTTAAACTACTTCCTATGAGATAGACACTCAAGTCTGTCATATGATAAAACGATAAGAGAGAGCGGTGAACATGGTGAAGAGCCATCTACTGCGATGAATTTATCAAAATATCTCGATAACACCTGGAATATTTGCTCCAGAAATTTTTTGGATTGATCTCTGGTGAATAAATTTGCACGTACATAGGTTGTTCACAGCTACTGCTGTCATTATGAGTGTGTATGGATTAAAGACGATAACATTAATGAAGGAAAATATTTTAAACAAATTATTATTGTGTTGTTTTTTCAAACAGATTACAAAAGGTATTCTCAGTATGCATTTCTGCGGTTGTCATAGCGATAAATATGTATTTTCTGTACGAACAAATCAGTGCAACTGTTGGCACGGAATGGTACGTGTTGACACCTCTGGGAATATTTGTTGCTATTTACGCAGCATTTGTTGCATATTTTGTAAGTGTTTTATTCATTTGTTTTATTCACCCAATAAACCTTCTCGATTAGTGCTTCATAATCAATTTGGATTTAAGTGATGAAAACAACCACAAAAAAACGTTCCAGTTTTTGGAAACAATCAAAAATGCCCTTCCAATCATTTGAAAACAATAACGATTGTCGTGAATGTCCAAAATCCAATATCTAAAAGCCAATGTGCAAATACAAAATCAGATATTATTTACCGAATATCAGCTTTAACACATCGGCAATGCTTGTCTGATAAATAGTATTCCACATTTGAATGCCTATTGCAATTTCAGGCTTATTATTGCATCACCTCAATGAACATCGTGAAACCAATCAAATGGGTGAGCTTTTTTTTGAATGTGTCAACGCTCAAGTCTCACGTGACATTCGTCATAGTTCTTTGTTTTTTGCTGTTTTTCGGTTTCTGAAGATGGATCCTATTTAATTCTCGTGTTCAATTTGTGAAAGAAAATCACAGGTCAACAAATGAAAGCATTTCATTTGTACATGATCAAAATGCATTTCCGATTTTAAATTCGTTCATGAAAATAATATAACTTAATTTGAAACGCTAAAAATCATGATGCTCATATGAAACAACAAATATGCACAACCATTACTAGCGAATGTATCGGAATCAAGCAAAACATTTGAAAGAATAATTGTGCAAGTAATCTTATAACGACTCGTTAACAACTTGCAGAAATGTCTTCCACAACCAGATTACAACAAATTTGACCAGCCATGGACTGAAGATGAGAAGGACGGTAAATTAAGCAGTATGAGTGACATTTACACTATCGAATAAACACAAGATACGGAGTTCGGTGAATAACAAGGATCAACTGAATAGGATTCAAATCTAATACATAATGACACGACGATTGTCGTGCTGCATGAGGAGCAAAGTGAATGCATATTATTCAATGAGCTGTGTCAACGATTAGCATAGTCGCGTTTTTAGATGTATAAATAAACTTATGTGATTTTTGCATTTTTCTGTAATACACTTATCAATTGTATCTGTATTAAAGCTTTCACTACTCCTCTGTGTTCGCATTTATGCATTTAGCGAATAATCATTTGCATATTCAATATCAAGATCAAATGCCATTCAAGAAGGAAAACTGAAAAAAAAGTCAAAAAAAAAACAATGGTATTGAGCATTTGGGCGAATGCATTACGGAAATTGAGTTTTCATGATCACATCTATTATTTGATGATTATACACAGTGATCGTGAGGTAGGTAGGCCACAAACAATGAATTAACGCCCAAATTTGACTTATTGGACAAGAACAATATCAATGCAATACACACTTATTGAATCAATCGATCGCATAGAAAACTTCAAATCAAAATCACAAGAAACGAGAGAAATTCTTCATTGAACTGTTTTAATTTTGATTGCAGAAACCACTATCACAAAATAATTCCCGAAAATATCACAAAAGTTGAAGTAAACAAAAAATTTATACATGGAGATAGGAGGAGAAAAACTATGCAAGGCAAACGGAAAAAGTAGTTTTGATACGACAACAAAAAGTAGAAAGTAATAAATTAAGAACTGGTTCGAAATTTGAACGAAAAAGACAAGACACAGAGTTGATCAGATTTCTTTATCGGTATTCTTTGATGCAACTTTTTCAACGATAGAACTCTTTTGTAGATTTGGGTCGTTTTTGGTCGCTGGCAGTTCTCTAGCAGTACTCAGATTCCCTACCATCTTGAGGTCATTTTTAGAGACGGCTGGTTCCAATGATGGCTTCTCGGGCACATTATTTGTGACAACACTTTGCTTTATTTCAGCAACTGACCTCAGCTGAACGTTGATATCTTGTGAAAAACGACGTTTCGCTTCATCTTCCATGATCGGCGGATTGGCTTCTGAGCTCACATTCAGCATGAGACTGTTACCCATTGTTTCGTGTCGCTTATTTTCATCAACTTTTTCGACCGAAACGTTTTCAGTTTTCTTTAGAGACATGTCACTTTGCCCGATTACTGATGCCGCTGTTTTCGCATCACTCAAAGAATACTTCTTCTGCTCATTCAATTGTTCAGTTTTGACTTCACCCGTTTTCTGATTCGTTTCACTGCTCGGTTGCTTCTCTTGGCTAACAGCATTTAGCGATCTAACTTGGATGCTTCCGTTGTCATTAACGACCTTTGGCGATTGGTTGACGTTACTTTGCAATCGACTGCTAGCCGATTGTTCCAACGAAGTCTCTCGCCTGAACACTTTTTTCGATTCCACTCCAACTTGATCTTTACTATCATTCGAATTCGTTTGTGATAAATTTTTAGAAACCATATCACTTTGTGATAAATTCATTCCGTCTTTAACAGCGGTCCTTTTTTCAACTTCTATATGCATATTGTGATGTTCGTTCAATTCTTTAACCAATTTTTGTTGTTCCTTGATCATTTGATCTTGTTCTTTTCGTTGCTCTTTCATTTCGGCTAATATCTTCCTCGCCTCTTCGCTAATCTCTTCTTTCTTCTTTTCAATATCGTCCACTTTCACCTTCTTATCCACTAGTAAATGACCTGTTCCATTTTGTTTCATCATAATGTCATCTTTTATTCGGTCGATTCCAGCTTGAAGTATCGCCGATTTCTCGACATCATTCGGATAATCAATCACTTGCTTTGGTAGAATAACGTCAATAACAGTGGATTGTCGTTCTGTATTGAGAACAGCCCAAGTGCCGCAAACCAGCATCAATATGCCGACTACTGTCGATAGTTTTGCGTATAATATCAACGACTGATTTGATTTAGTGGTTGATGGGCAAACAGCAATGAAGAGAACTGACGGAATGATAATTGTCACTAATGAACCAATCAAGGCACCCGTCAGACCAAGAATGAACTCAACATTTGGTATGACCACAGCAATGAGCAAATCCACAACGAGTATCGTGAATGTCAGTGCAATATAGGTGACTGTTGACATTTCACTAACACCATACTTATTGAATTCAGTGCGGAAGAATAAATTATAGACGGCATTTCTGCATGGAAACAACATTAACGGCACACTAACCGCCACCGATAGCATGAACATTAGCTTCAGTGCTTGTGTTAGTATTGATGGATGTAGATAGAGCAGAATATCACCGTGTAGCTGTTGATCATTGAAGGCCACATAGCCGAATAAACCTACTGCCGCATAAATTGAACTGCAAATATTGACTGCACCCGAAACAATCGTGTCCACTTTACGCGTCTCGGCATCTTTCACACAATCGGCCACACAAAACAGTTGTGTCTGACAAGATAGGGCCATTGAAATGATCGGCAGTGTATTCAGTACGCCCTCTTGACGCCACCAATAGACATCCATTGCCCATTTGCCGTCCAGTATTCGAGGGATGCATTCCATTAGCATTCTTACGACGAACAAAAAATAAAAAAATACCGTCACTGAACTAATCACCGACAGACTGTCCAAATTCCGAACCAGTGAAAGTGGGAAAATGACAAACAAGAAGACAAAGACCATGACAAGAATTCGCAATCGTTGCGTTGGCGCTAGCATTTGCAAGTACTCAGCAAGAACGTGAGGTCCAATATCACCAATAACCACCATGAAAGAAACAATCGAAGACATCAAATAAAGCAGCATCAATACTAATCACCGACAGACTGTCCAAATTCCGAACCAGTGAAAGTGGGAAAATGACAAACAAAAAGACAAAGACCATGACAAGAATTCGCAATCGTTGCGTTGGCGCTAGCATTTGCAAGTACTCAGCAAGAACGTGAGGTCCAATATCACCAATAACAACCATGAAAGAAACAATCGAAGACATCAAATAAAGCAACATCAATATCTCAACAAGACGTCTTCCTTTACTGCCAAATGCATATAACCCTAGCGCTTCATAGCTACGCCGCCTTGTTAAAACTGCACCTTTGTACAGGAAATGACACGTGAATTTCGTTAACACTGAGCATGCACCTATCAATATCGTGCCCAGTACGATACCACATTGTTGAAGACAATATGGCATTGCCAGTACACTTACACCAACAATACAATTGGTTAGGTTGAAAACGTGCGGCCATTGGTTGAAACCTGACAGCTGGCTGGATTCAGAGATGGAGTCGGAATCATCGTGAATATCGATTCTATCACCCAACAATAACTCACGATGATCATCCAGTCGTTTCTTCATCGTTTACAAAGATTCTGAAAATACCGTACATTTTCAGTTATATCAAGAGTAACCCATATTAAGATTTTTTCTGGAAATAGTTGAGGCAAAGCCCGAGCCAGATTTAAATAACCGAAAATGGTCTTAGCAAAATCCTAGCAGTAAGTCTGATTGTGAGGTTATTGCGCATCGTACAAAGTCAAACTTAGAACATATGTATAAGTCAATTTAAGATAAAGCAACAATAAGCGTATAATACTTACTCCTTGTGATCTATCCGAGCCTTTCTACGGATACGATTCAAGAATATAATGGCAATATTTTATCTATTAATTCCACACGATCCTTAAACAGCACTTTTTTGGACAGTTGCGTTCCAGTTTCTTGTGCTTTCGTTGTCGATTGATAACAGAAGCAATCAATTCCGAATACGGAGTTGATCAGCAATCATTAACAATTGTTAATTCATATAATCCGAACGGATTAAAGGTGATCCTGAAAAAAGCATTTCACGTTATTTTCGAAGCTATCCTGACTGCTTCGATGCTGTTCAACAAGTCACTGTGGCTACAATTATTTCATAGTTATTTTTGCCCTCATAAAATTTAAGAGAATGATTATTTTCATATTATCAATAGATTATTTACGAGCAGTTTCTTGGATTATTGTGGATGAATTGCAGACTCGCATACATCAATATACTCAACTACTGTCGTTATTACCGTTCACTTTAATAAAATTATAATCTCCATTATCCCTGACTTCCTTTTGAACGTATACAACTGATTAAATTATCAACGATTCAAACGAAAGTTTTGAATGAAACAAACATTTTAAATCTAAGTGATAATCTGAAATCTAAACACTTTTAAAAATTTCTGTTTTGAATCAATCAAAATCTCAACACCATCGTAAAATCTTCTATTACCTTAACATCCTAACACTTCAACCGGACATAAACCACCACGTCTCAGCTGCATGGATCGGTACGTAACCATTTTGAATGTTTCGACATGTTGCCACATAAACAGAGACACGGGCGACTGCGCTCGTTCAGAGGATGTGGCTCGAACAAACCAAAGTGCTGAATAAAGACAGCATGAAGGCACAAGGAGAATCGAATTATTACAGATTCATAAAAACCCTTCTTCTTACATTCAAAGTTCCCAAGAAACTATCCCCCATTTCCATCAATTGGCGAACTGTGACTCCGTTCCTACTTGTTGAACTCTTTGCGTACGCACTTCGCCATATGCGNCGGAAGTGAGACAAACAGAGAAGAGTGAGTATAGCAGATGATATACTTGAACGACGTTAAACATTTATTTATACCGCTGGTCAAAAGATACATTTTCGGAGATAAAAGATCAAAAGATACATTTTCGGAGTGTTCGTATGCAATCGCCTTACGCATCAATTGCAATGCCACCATTTTTTCATCACCCATTCGACACTTCAGAATCCAAAGATTCGGATCCTTAGTACACGGCAAAAGCGAATGACGACTGATATCGTCCATCGCTGCATCATCTTCAGTTGTTCCGGCGTATGACGGTTGAGTGGAATATTTCATTTTGAAGTAATCTTCTATTTGATCCTCATTCATGCCACTGCAATTAATCCTTGGTCATCGCTTACGAACATGCAAATAACATTTTCCACCAACCAATTTCAAACCAATTCCAATATGAATGATTATTTTTCCAAATTTCATTGGAATGATAAGAAATCAAGTCATTTTGTGAATAATCTCAAACTTTCACACCAATAATCTCAAAAATAACTGATTAAAAAAACACAATACCGTTATAAAAATATCGAAAAAAAAGAATAAACAAAACCTGAACCTGAAGAGATCTCTTCGTCGGACCTCTCGATTGCGTTCGTCTTGTTCCTTCATAAGTCTCTCGGCTTCCTCTCGTTCTCTCGGATCGATACCCATCTCATCGCCATCATCCTCGTATTCCACCTCCTCCTCTTCATCGTCATCCACTTCTACATCATCCAGAATGAACTGATGCACACCGGTTCGACGCTAAATGAATGCCCGTTCAACAATATTTTCAATTTGCACACTTCTCTTATTCAACCGCTTCATTTCTCGACTCCCTACCACATATAATTATTTTACGGTACGTCAAATTCTGATATGGCTTCTTGAAGCTTAAAATATTACGAATCGAGAATCACTTCATGTATTGTGATACAAAACAAATACAGACAGACACATTGTATGATGATTAATTATCAGGAGATGTGTGAATGATTCGTCGTGAACACCTCTGGAATCTGTGTTTTGCGCTGTTTGAATACCAGCAAACTTCGAATCAAACAAAATAAACAATAAAAACGATAACAACAATGAATGAAGACCTTCTTCTTTTTAGATTTCTTGCCTCGATGACCGGTATCTCCATCCTCGTCCTCCTCATCATCTTCCTCGTCCTCCTCTTCCTCCCCATCATCCTCTTCGTCCTCGTCATCATCTTCATCCGAATCCAACTGAAATATGTCTCACTCCCATAGATCACTTAAACAATAACCATAATGGTATTCAGTGACAATCACTATTACCATTGCTTTCAACTGCACTGTTATTATTTTCATACGCTTCGGGAAATGCGTTTATACAACAGCGATTATAGTGGAAAGGGTACATTCGAAATTTTCATGAAAAGGTATAAATTTGATCATGTTCGAAAATTTTGCACGATGCAAATATTCACGGGGACTGAACGGTAAACGAGAACAAACCCTGCGCTTTTTGGCCTTCTTAACTTGTGTTGTATCTTCAGCGTCATCATCATCCTCATCTTCCTCGTTTCCGCTTCCTTCCGGTTGCCTCGAGTCATTCAATTCCTTCAACTTCTCATTTTCATAGTTTGATCAATATTGATTTGGAAATCGATGCAACGCTTGCACTCGTGCAAGCGTTGCATCGATTATTTTGATTACTTATCGATTATTATTATTATTTTG